GGCCAGGTTTGAACCCCCCAGCCACCTCTGGTATATGCGGCCACTGCCCTCTTCCTTGAGCCACAGGCACCACCCATTTTTTTTTTTTTTAACAGACAGAATTTCACTTTATTGCCCTCGGTAGAGTGCCGCGGCGTCATAGCTCACAGCAACCTCCAACTCCTGTGCTTAGGCGATTCTCTTGCCTCAGCCTCCCGAGTAGCTGGGACTACAGGTGCCTGCCAGAACATCCACCTATTGTTTTGTTGCAGTTTGGCCAGGGCGGGGTTTGAACTCACCACCCTCTGTATATGGGGCCAGTGCCTAACCCACTAAGCCACAGGCGCTGCCCCCATATCTGATTTTGTTTTTTTTTAAGACAGAGTTTTATTGCCCTCAGTAGAGTGCTGTGTCATCACAGCTCACAGCAACCTCCAACTCCTAGGCTTAGGCGATCATCACTTCTCCTTTTTAAGAGAGAATATTATACTAATGAAAGTAGATGCATTGTTTTAATTTAAAAATAACCCTATTTTATTTATTTATTTTGAGACAGAGTCTCACTTTGTTGCCCTTGGTAGAGTGCTGTGGCATCATAGCTCAGAGTAACCTCAAACTCTTGGGCTGAAGCGATCCTCTCGCCTCAATTTTTCATTTTTAATAGAGATGGGGGTCTCACTCTTGCTTATGCTGGTCTTAGACTCATGAGCTCAACTGATCCACCTGCCTTAGCCTCCCAGAGTGTTAGGATTACAGGTGAGCCACTGTGCCGGCCCATATTTTCTTTTAAAATTAAAAAAAAAGGCTCAGTGCCTGTGGCTCAAATGGCTAAGGTGCCAGCCACATACACCTGAGCTGGTGGGTTCGAATATAGCCCGGGCTGCCAAACAACAGTGACGGCTGCAAACAAAAAATAGCCAGGCATTGTGGCTGGCACCTGTAGTCCCAGCTACTTGGGAGGCGGAGGCAGGAGAATCGCTTGAACCCAGGAGTTGGAGGTTGCTGTGAGCTGTGATGCCACAGCACTCTACCCAGGGTGATGGTTTGAGGCTCCGTCTCAAAAAAATAAATGAATAAAAATTAAATTAAATTAAAAAAAAAATTTCGGCAGGGTCTCACACAGCACTTTGCCCATGCTGGTGTCCTGGCCCTAGGGCATTCTTCCCCCTCAGTGTCCCAAAGTTCTGAGATTACAGGAGAACCCTATTTTCTTTCTTTCTTTCTTTCTTTTTGATATAGAGTCTCAAGCTGTTGCCCTGGGTAGAGTGCCATGGCATCATAGCTCATAGCAACCTCAAACTCTTGGGCTTGAGCGATTCTCTTGCCTCAGCCTCCCAAGTAGCTGGGACTATAGGTGTCTGCCACAATGCCTGGCAATTTTTTGTTTGTTTGTTTGTTTTAGCAGGCTCGGTTACTTAGCAGGCCCGGGCCAGGTTTGAACTCACCAGCCCTAGTGCATGTAGCTGGTGCCCTAACCGGTTACGGGCACTGAGCTGGGCCAGCCATTTTAAAAGCATTTCTGTAAGAAGTTTCTTTTTTTTTTTTTTTTTTTTTTTGAGACAGAGCCTCAAGCTGTCCCCCTGGGTAGAGTGCCGTGGCATAGCTCACAGCAACCTCCATCTCCTGGGCTCAAGCGAGTCTCCTGCCTTCGCCTCCCATGTAGCTGGGACTACAGGCGCCCGCCACAATGCCCGGCTATTTTTTGGTTGCAGTCGTTGTTGTTTGGCGGGTCCGGGCTGGGGATTCGAACCCGCCACCTTAGGTGTACGTGGCTGGTGCCTTAGCCAGTTGAGCTATAGGCGCCGAGCCGAGAAGTTTCTTTTTTAGAGAATAAGAAACAATATATTGACATTGTAGTAAACCCTGAAATTTCCTTGTTTTGCTCCCTTCTTGGGAGCCTGTTGTCATCCCACTCACGTCAAGTTTTTTCCATTCTCTTTTTTATGCTGGTGGACCTGGTTCCAGGAATGGAAAAAAGCAGGAGTTGAGCAGCTGCGGCTTAGCACAGTAGATATGACTGGGATTCCCACCTTGACCAACCTCCAGAAAGGAGTCCAGTTTGCTCTTGAGTACCAGTCGTTGGGCCAGTGTGTCTACGTGCATTGTAAGGCTGGGCGCTCTAGGAGCGCTACTATGGTGGCAGCATATCTGATTCAGGTAGGAAATGTCTTTCTGGACTGGCCTCGTTTATAGCAGATTTCCAGAACTTCAATACCATAGCCTACTTGTGGGCCTTGTTGGAAGGATCCATGTACCAAATTTCAGGCTGTTGGGAGGAGGTATGGTATTGTGGAAAGCACCTGAGCTTTCTGGATAGACTTATCTCTGGCTTTGATAACCTGCCAGCTAGGATAGGCAAAGGTGGCTTCTCCTTTCTGATACTGTTTGCTTAAATGTGTTAGAAATCTATTTTTGGGGTGGTGCCTGTGGCTCAAAGGAGTAAGGCCCCAGCCCCATATGCTGGAGGTAGCAGGTTCAAATGCAGCCCCAGCGAAAATTGAAAAAAAAAAAAAGAAATCTATTTTTTTTTTTTTTTTATACAAGAGTCTCAAGCTGTTGCCCTGGGAAGAGTGCTGTGGCATCATAGTTCACAGCAACCTCCAAGTCTTGTGCTTAAGTGATTCTCTTGCCTCAGCCTCCTACCACAACATCCAACCGGGAATCTTAATTGACAAAGTACATCAAGCTTTGGCCTACAGCAGGCACTTAAAAGATGGGGTTACAACCTCCTGTGGCTTTGGCTGGAGTTCCAGGATTATTGAACCTTCTTTCCTGCCAACAGAATGTGTTAGTTTGTTTTTTTGTTTGTTTGTTTTTTTGAGGCAGAGTCTCACTATGTTGCCCTTGGTAGAGTGCTTGGTGTCATAGCTCACAGCAACCTCAAACTCTTGGGCTTAAGCGATTCTCTTGCCTCAGTCTCCCAAGTAACTGGGACTATAGGTGCCTGCCATAATGCCCAGGTATTTTTTTGTTGTAGTTGTCATTATTGGTTAGCTGGCCCAAGCAGGGATTTGAACCCACCAACTTTGGTGTATGTGGCTGGCGCTATAACCACTGTGCTACAGGTGCTGAGCCAACAACAGAATGTGTTAGTGCTGTTGGGTATAGTGGGTCCAGGGCTCCCAGGGGGAGGTCTGGGGTTGTTCTCAGCATGTGTGTGCAGCCCCCATGCAGCTGGGAAGGCATGGATTAGTGATGTTCACAGCCTGGAATCTGCTACTTCATGCTTTTTGCCTGTAATCTCTATATGGTTTCCAGAGGTTTATTTGGCTTGCAGGTTGACATCTGTTGCATTTGAGCATTTCCTGTTCATTTCTCCAAAGCTGGTGACTAGAGACTCCAGCCTGTGTAACTTTGAAAGCCTGGGATTCATGTGACCCCTGCTGATTTAATCAACAGTTTGAAGCTCCATGCCTGTAGTTCACTGAGTAGGGTGCCAGCCACATACACCAGAGCTGATGTGTTCAAGCCTGGCCTGGACCTGCTAAACAACAATGATGACCGCAACCAAAAAATAGCCAGGCATTGTGGCCAGCACCTGTAGTCCCAGCTATTTGGGAGGCTGAGGCAAGAGAATCGCTTAAGCCCAAGAGTTTGAGGTTGCTGTGAGCTGTGACACTATGGTCCACTGAGGGCGACATAGTGAGACTGTCTCCCCAAAAAAAAAAAAACCAGTTTGAAAACCATCAATACAGTTTGAAAACACATATCCAAGTACTGGGACTCACCTGTGGAGTTATTAAAAACTTGGATTGTTTCTTGACATTTACTCTTGACAGAGAGATTGGCTAATTGCTAATAAATGCAGGATTCACCATAAAAAAAAATATGGGGTTACAACAGATGTCTAAACCCAGCAAATGGCCAGAAACACGTGTAATAAACAGGATGTCAGGAAATCTAGTACTGTAATAATAGTGCTGATCACTTTCAGAAACTCAGGTTTCTTTTTTTAGGTATTTCAGAGTATAAGTTTTGAACATTTGTTTCTAGAAACAGGAGATAGAAACTAAATTTTGCCTATCCATTTGTTTTGATTGGCAGGTTAGATGCTTTAAAAATATTTAGATTAGGACCAGGCATGGTGGCTGATGCCTATAATCCTAGCACTCTGGGAAGCTGAGGCAGGCGGATTGCTTGAGTTCATAAGTTCGAGACCAGCTTGAGCCAGAGTAAGACCCTGTCTCAAAAAAAAAAAAAATAGCCTGGTGTTGTGATGGGCACCTGTAGTCCCAGCTACTTGGGAGGCTAAGACAAGAGAATCACTTAAACCCAGAGTTTGAGGTTGCTATGAGCTAAGATGCCACAGCACTTTACTGAGGGTAACCAAGTAAGACTATGCCTGTGGTCCTTCATCATTCCTTGTTCTCTTCCATGCTCCCAACTTGATTCATTTTAGTAAACTGTCTGACCCCCATATATATTTTTTTGAGACAGTCTCATGTTGCCCTTGGTAGAGAGCTGTGGTATCACAGCTCACAGCAACCTCAAATATTGGGCTTAAGTGACTCTTATGCCTCAACCTCCCAAGTAGCTGGGACTACAGGTACCCTCTACAATGCCAGCTATTTTTTTGGTAGCATTTGTCACTGTTGATTTTAGCTGGTCCAGGCTGGGTTCAAACCCGCCAGCCTTGGTGTATGTGGCCAGCGCCCTACCTACTGAGCTACAGGCGCCACCTGACCCCCATATTTTCTATGTCACATGGTTAGTTAAGCCTGGCCATGGTTGTTACTGTGGACTGGTGAGTATCTGATTAAACACCACCAAAACTTTGGTCATAAGGACTCTGCTGGAAACATGTCTCAGGAGTATTATTTTTGTGCCAAGTAACAGTTGAACCAGCCAGTTAGAAATCTAAATCTTCTTGGTTTTGTTGAGTTATACATCAATAGAACATGGATAACCTTCCTGGTTAAATTAAAAAGTACTGTTTTTCTAGCTATGATGACATATTGCATAAAAACATCTACCATATACTCTTTCCTAGGAATTCTGTAACCAATGCCCAGCTCAAGATATCAAGTAGGCCTAGTGCCAAGGCAGTCTTAAAGTTATGATGTCAGCTTCACATGCACAACCTTTTTTTCCCAGGGTTTGGGAGAGCGATTGGGTAGAGAGACTGCCTTGTCCATCTGGCCTGTTGCATAATATTGTGGAGTCCCATTTTAACTCTGGTGGTTAAAGTGCTCTCCCATTTATAACAGTTTTTAAAACCTCCCAAATGGTTTTTTAAAGAAATGAAATTCTGGGTCCTTTAGTGCCTGCCTGCAGGTCCAGGGTGCCTTAACACCTGCTCCTTTCTTTCTGTGCTGATTTCCCAACCCTGTACTTCAGGTGCACAACTGGAGTCCAGAAGAGGCTGTAAAAGCCATCAGCGAGATCCGGTCACACATCCACATCAGACCTGGTCAATTGGATGTTCTAAAAGAGTTCTACAAGATTACTGTAGGGGCAGCCAAGGATGAGACACGTGACATATCAAAAACATGAATTACGTGGATTAGAAAGAACTCAATGTGATGTGAATCCCCTGGTCAGGAAAAAGAAGAAGGAAGACAACTCTGCTTCATATAGAATAAAAAATTTTAACAGGACCTAAGGGCCTTAGGTCCAAACTTGACATAACAGAAATATGCTAATAGCTAATTTTGTTTCTTCTGTCGTTTCATTTTCCTGAAGTAACACTGTTGTGTACCTAGAGAGGAAGAGATTTAGTGCGGCTTATATTTATAGCAGAGAGGATAGGGATGGGGGTATTTTATTTTCTTGATCAGGGCCATGGAATTACTAATTTTAACAAAAATTTATTGTGTATGTAATATCGTGCCTGATGATATATAGCATCATAACTCAAAAAAAAGTTAACACTAGAAAAAAGAGAGGAATAACTGAGGTCTGGCTTTTTGCCATTGTCAGAAATCCCAATTTCAGCTGGGTGTGATGACCTAGACCTGTAATCCCAGGATTTTGGAAGGGTGAGGTAGAAGGATCACTTGAGGCCAGGCTGGGCAACAAAGGAAAACCCTCTCTAAAAAAAATTTTTAGAACTTAGCCAGGTATGGTTGCCCATGCCTGTAGTCTGAGCTACATAGTAGGAACACTTGAACTCAAGAGTGATACTACTGTGAGCTATGATTGTGCCACTGTACTCCAGCATGGGTGACAGACTCTAATCTCTTAAGGAAAAAAAACACAATTTCACTGGCCCTGTAGGGTTCCCCTCACGCTTTTAAAGCAGTGATCCTCGCTCATGCCTATAATCCCAGCACTCTGGGAGGCTGAGGTTGGTAGATTGCTTGAGTTCAGGAGTTTGAGACCAGCCTGAGCAAAATCGAGACGCTGTCTCTAAAAATGGCTGGGTATTGTGGGTGCCTGTAGTCCTAGCTACTTGGGAGACTGAGGCAAGGGGATCGCTTGAGCCCAAGAGTTTGAGGTTGCTGTGAGCTACAGTGGTGCCACGGCACTCAACTAAGGGCAACTGAGTAAAACTGTCTCAAAAAAAAAAAAAAGAAAGAAAGAAAAAAGAAACCAAGTGATCCTGTATATATAATAGAAAAGGAGGGGTGGCGCTTGTGGAGCAAAGGAGTAGGGCGCTAGCCCCATATGCCAGAGGTGGCAGGTTTAAACCCAGACCCAGCCAAAAAAAAAGTGTGAAAAAAAAGAAAAGGAAGCATGGGCTGCAGTTAGGACTGCTGACACAGAAATGTGCAGGCATGTCATCAGTTCCCCTAAGGAAGTTAATCCTATAGAATTCAACACAGACACACACATCCCTCCAAAAACTTTTATTTGTATGAACAATTCCTAGCTCTTGACTTAACTTAGAGCTTTTAAAAGAGTAGAGAGCTTGCATTTTTGAGTTTGAAAAAAGTTTTTGTTATTTTCTTCACTTTTTTTTTAATAGCCTAGCAATGAACAGTTTCTGGTATTAATTAGAAACAATCCTTTCTACTTTCTGGCTTACCTCTTGAAAGAAACCAAAAATAAAGCCAAAATTACATTTCCTGACAAGATAGATGAGAAAAAAATAGAAGGAATGTCCTGAATGCTAGAGTTAAGTCTTGCTGGTGAGATACACCTTCATCTTAGTCCACTATCCCAACCAAAGCCTGAAGGAAGACTCTAACACCTAATTCTTTGTGGAAGTATTATCAACTAGCCATTTCATAGGCTATAGAAAGAAAGTATGATTGGGCATCTTTCCTTTGCCCTGGGATCAGGGGTGCTTCTACTCGACATTGATCAGGTAAAGAGGGGAGGCTGTGGCTAAGGTCTGAGAAGAGGCTTGCTCTACACAATCTGTAGTGTGGCATGGAATTACCAGGGGATGTCAGAGTACAGGCTGGCTACTCTCATTTCAAGCAGGCAGCTGAGCAGCAGCAGTCTAAAAAGCCCCAAACACAGAACACTTCTATGGGTTTGGGAAAGGACAGTCACTGTCTTTCTAATCTGTGCCAAAAAATAGCACATTACTCTGAGCTGGGGCTCAAGGGACTTTGAATTTGGATGGGTAAAGGGGGAGGGCAAAGGAGTTAGTTGAATACCCCCATAGCCTTAGGCCAACACAAACTGCAAATTGGTAAGCAACACCTTAATGCCTCTTGTGACAGTTACAGCTGAAGTGGCAGGGTCAAGCTTGTAGGTGTTGGCATCCCCCTTTTTATATCGGTCCCGGAAGACATAGATGCTTCCGTTACAGCTGGCAATCTTCCAGAGGGATGGGGCAGAGCTCCAGGCCTCAGGAAGGCAAAGCCGGGTAAAGCTGTCTAGCATGGGATTGTAGCACACCAGGGAGTCCCCTTCAGCCACGATGAACACCAGATCCTTATGTACAGCTGCATGCATGCGCCCAGCAAAGGGCAGCACATAGGGCTTCACATGGCATTTGTCTGTCTCTGTGTCAAAGCACTGGATGAGTCGGGAAGGTTTGGTAAAGAAGTCCAGATCATTCTCCTCCCCCCCTAGTAAGTAGATGATTCCGTTGAGATTGGCACCAGCAGCCCCTGACACGGCCACCTCGAGTTGGGTTGTCTCTGTCCACACATTATCACCTACCCGATAATAGATGACAGCATTGGAGAGGGTATCCTGCAGTGTTTTGCCACCTAATGAATATATGGCATCTTTCCCGGGCACAGACACCAGGGTATGCTGGAGCCGGTCCCGAGGCAAAGGTGCACACCACTCCCAGTCAACAGTGGCATTGTTGCACTTCCACATGCGCCGTGGGATGGACCCTCCCACCACATACAAGTCTCCACCATGCTTGCAGGCCGCAGTGATCTGGTGGCACAAGCTGTTTTGGCCACTTACACTGATGGAATCATCTTCTGCACAGTGTAAAGACACAGCCAACGAGTGGGTACGGGATGACTCTTTCCCAATCAGGTAAATGTGCACATTCTCACCAATTTCCTATTGGCAAAATTAAAGTAAGTTATAGCTATCTGTTCCAGGCTAAGGACCAGCTAAGACATGTATTCTTTTTTTGGTTTTTTTTTGCAGTTTTTGGCTGGGGCTGGGTTTGAACTGGCCACCTCTGGCATATGGGGCTGGCGCCCTACTCCTTTGAGCCACAGGTGCCACCCAAGACATGTATTCTTAAGAGTTCTGGCCCTCACACTTGTATCTTACTTGACACATTCCCCTCTAGTTACTGTATGTCATCCTGAGTCTTGTCTTTTCTTTCTTTCTTTTTTTTTTTTTGGCTGGGGCTGGGTTTGAACCTGCCACCTCCAGCATATGGGACCGATGCCCTACCCTTTTGAGCCACAGGCACTGCCCTCCTGAGTCTTTTCTAATCACTTTCTTCTAGACATTTTTTGGTTGGGTCAGAGAATCTGTCACACTCACCCTTGAAGCATTTCATTTTATTTTTTTAAATAGAGACAGAATCTTACTTTATCACATTTGGTAGAGTGCTGTGGCATCACACAACTCACAGCAACCTCCAAATCCTGGATTTAGGCGATTCTCTTGCCTCAGCTTCCAGAGTAGCTGGGAATACAGGCTCCTGCCACAATGCCCAGCTATTTTTTTTGTTGCAGTTTAGCTGGGGCCAGGTTTGAACCTGCCACCCTCGGTATAGGGGCTGGCACCCTACACACTGAGCCACAGGCACTGCCCCTTGAAGCATTTTATAAACAACCATAAGCTGGTGCTTCAGACAAAGGGTGTTTAGGGGCCGGAGGTGGTGCCTCACACCTGTAATTCTAGCACTCTGGGAGGATGAAGCCGGTGAATTGCTTGAGCTCACGCATTTGAGACCAGCCTGAACAAGAGTGAGACCCTGTCACTACTAAAAATAGAAAAATGAGCCAGGTATTGTGGCAGGCACCTGTAGCCCCATCTACTTGGGAGGCTGAGGCAAGAGGATTACTGGAGTCCAAGAGTTTGAGGTAGCTATGAGCTATGACACCATGGCACTCTACCCAGGGCAATGGAATGAGACTCTGTCTCAAAAAAAAAAGAAAAAAAAAAAGAGAGAAAAGAAAAAAGGAAAAGAGAACAGTTCTCAATGAACTTTGAAGCTCATGGATTGGTGGGTTTTAGGGTCACAAATACATCCTCCTCCCCAGATCCTATCAACTTCAAGCCAGATATGGCTTACTAACCATCCATCAAAAAGAGGGGTCAGCTGATGGTTGGTATATATGCAGAGTATAATGTTCCAACTCTTAATGTAATGAAAGCTGCCTTACCTTCAAGCTAGTCCTGAGTGACTCTGTAAAAGCCTCTCTTTCTTCTTTATTAAAATTAATCCAGGCTTCTATTGCCTCTGTTGGATTCTGGGAACATGGAACTCCATCTATGAGAGCCAGAGGAAAGCATGGTCAATGGCAATCTGATAATCCGAGAGAGAAATTTAGAGAAAGGGGCTTTAACAACATGAATCACTTTATTAGACTATCACTGTGTATGTATGTGTATATATATACATACACATGAGATTAACCTAAAACTGCCTTGCTTTTTAAAAATTGAAATGAATGGCTCGGCGCCTGTGACTCAAGCGGCTAAGGCGCCAGCCATATACACCTAAGGTGGCGGGTTCAAATCCCCAGCCTGGGCCCACCAAACGATGGCTGCAACCAAAAAATAGCCGGGCGTTGTGGCGGGCGCCTGTGGTCCCAGCTACTTGGGAGGCTGAGGCAGGAGACTCGCTGGAGCCCAGGAGTTGGAGGTTGCTGTGAGCGTGATGCCATGGCACTCTACCCAGGGCGATAGCTTGAGGCTCCGTCTCAAAAAAAAAAAAAAAAAATTGAAATGAACGGCTTGGTATGCTCCCATCTGCCATGGAAATAACCTACTAGGTTATAGAGCTTAAACCTAAAGTATGGTTACAACTCACTTTCAGGGTCAGTTTTGTTACCTAAAGTTGGGCCATCATTTAAGAAGTTTTTTAGTTTCTTATCTTAGTTATCTTGATTCATCATCAATTTACACAGGTATTAAACCCACAAGTACATGCAAAGTACAAGAGAAATAAGAACACTTAAGCAGGGGAGAGGTAGAGTATAATACAAATAGCTGCTTACTACTTTTTTTTTTTTTTTGAGACAGTCTTATTATGTCGCCTTGGGTAGAGTGCCATGGTGTCATAGCTCACAGCAACTTCAAACTCTTGGGCTTAAGCAATTCTCTTGCGTCAGCCTTCAAGTAGCTGGGACTACAGGTGCCCGCAATTAACACCTGGCTATTTTTTTGTTGTAGTTATCACTGTTGTTTAGCAGATCCAGGCCGAGTTTGAACCTGCCACCCCTGGGTGTATGTGGCCAGGACCCTAACCACTGAACTACAGGCACCCGCCTACTTACTACCTTTTGTGAGTGCTGGTTTCTTCCTCTGTAAGAAGGACTGTCTCTGACAATAATTACACTGAATCTCAACTCAACCTGTTTCAGCAGATATCTCAATAGTAATGTAGGAATAATAATATAAACCAACACCAGAAAACTTAAAGGTTCATTTCTCCTGAACTAGTACACAGAACAAGTAGCTGGATATGATATTCCCCTTCCTGAAACTTACCTGAAATGATATCAGTAAGTAAATGATGGGGCAAGTGTAGAAATTCCTCTGTGCTTTGCAGCTGTGCCAAGTGGGTCTTGGCACAGTGCTTGGCAGCAGTGTAGAGTTCAGGATCACTGTGCCGATCTGCCAGCCACATCACCTGAAGACAGTTTCCCACTTGCACTGTGCGGGCCAAAAACCGAGAACATTCCTCAAATAGAGATGTCAGCTGATACATGTCTGACACCTCATAAATTTCCTGCAACTCATCAGCTCGAAGTTTCACAGTCCCATGGTAGATATAATCAACCAGGAGCTGGAAAACAGACTCACTGACATCCTGCAGCACTATCACCCGATTGTGGGCCTCCTTCAGGTTGGAAGTGAACATGGACCTGAAGAAGCAGCTCTGAGCTGAGAGGACCAATCGATGGAGCTGAAACTCCCGGCCTTCTACAGAAATGGTGACATCAGCAAAGAGCTCCTCCTCCAGACATAGTTTCATGATGCCTTGAGCCACACGGCCTGAGTGTGACCGATCTTTGAAAGTGTAGTTCACAAAGTAGTTCTCATCCATGGATGCTCCGGGCTCCTCGGGTGATTCCATGGTAGCCAGCTTTTCTCTCTTCCAGCTGTCTGGAAAGCAACACCACTGTGAGTAACTTGGGGGATTCACAGCCATAGTCTATGAATCCAACTGTCCAAGTCAGTGAGGTGAAAGTAAAAAGTGAGAGTAAAGTAGATCCAGATTAGTAGCCTTATTCTTGGCACTGCCAATGATGTCCCTGATGCTCTCCTTCAACCATATCTGTTTATTCTCCTGCAGAAACGCCCCTCCCCCAATGAAATCAATGAAAGTTCTAATTCTTTTCCATGATGTAAAATACTTGGGATTTAGGTCAACATACAAAAGCAAGGGACTGGTGGAAGCCTACAATTTTAAAAACCTCATTAACCAGATAACGTGGGCATAAAAGTAGTAAATCTCAGGGGCAATAGAACCAGACAAAAACGACCCCCACATCCTTGCAGACAAGTCCTGTCTTCTCCCGCGCATGGAGTCCACACACTGCTATGTGAGGATTGGCCTGAGATATCGTTAGTCCCACGCTTGGTCTCTTCTGAGCTTGTTTTCTCCATTTCCCCACTCGCCCTAAAGATTTCCCAAGGCTGTGTCCCATAACTGGAGACAGAGCCCCTCCAACCCTAGCCTGGGGCATGGGGGGCCCATCTCCCAGAAGAGTCCTCGCTCCACCTGGAGTCGCCTAGGAAACGGTCGCCAAGGAAACCGTTCTTCCCGCTTAGACCCTGGGTCAAAATCAGGAGGCGGGGGAGGGGTGCGGAACATAGAACCCAGAACGCACACCCCCGTCCCTCCTCTCACCCGTCCGGTTCTTCAGCGACCTTGCCTTCTCTCCAGCGTCTGCCACACCGAGCTAGGGCTACGTTCACTTCACGGTTTTCCCACCTGTCGGCCTCGCTTTCTCACCTGCGTTCCCTCCTTTCATCCCGGTGCCCCGAATCCGGAACCTCTGCTTCCGGCCCCGCGTCCGCCCGGAAGAGGTACCGCTGCATATTTCCGCTTCCGGTCCATGCCCTTGGAGCTCCGTGTCCTGTGGGTTGTCCCTAGGCTACCTGGTTTGTGTCTGGGGAACATGGCGGCGACGGCAGCCAGGGTCTGGTGGCGCGGGCTTGTGGGCTCCGCGGCGCTGGCCAGGGGTGAGCACTTGGCTGAGGCAGGCAGGGATCAAGAGTAGCGGTGCGCCCAGCGCAGAGAGTTCTTCGGGCCTCACCCTTTGCGCCTATGCTTTCTATCTCTATGCAGGAGTTGGGCGACCCTGGGCACTGTTGGTGCCAGTGAGGAGGGAGAGCGCCGCGGCCGAAACGCGCCGTGAGTATGTGCGGGCATCGCTCTTCCTACGGACTGCCTGCGGGGCAGGGTGGGGGCTTTTTTATTTTCGTGAGATGTTCGTTCTTGCCCAGGATGCTCTTCCCTGCGTCCTCCTGGCAAATATATGCTTGTCCTTGAAGATCTGACAGCAGTGGTCTTCTCTTTGCAGGCCGAATCAAGCGCTGCCTATACCCTTAGGCCTCTCTGTTGTGGCCCTAATTGTGCCTTGTGTGTTTATCTGATCAACTTTCTCTTATTAAGCTGTAAGCTCTTTGAGAGCAGGAAACATAACTTGGACTTAGAGTCCTGTAATAATAGTAGCTAACGTTAATTGAGTAGTTACTGCGTGCTAGGCACCTCGATGAAGAGTTTTAGTGAATAATTTTATTTAGTCCTCACAGCGAACTTATGAGTTAGTATTTTACTCTCCATGTTTTAGATTAGGAAACAGAGAATTAAATTACCCAGGATCACAGACCTAGCAAATGACTGAGCAGGCCTGTCAGCTACCAAAGGCAGAGAACATTTAACCATTACTCCACAGCTTTTGATGTATAAGAGCTCAGTGATTTAGGGTTGCATGAATTAGCTATGGAGATGTTAATGTTACAGTTAACATAAGCAGACTGGGAGTTAGGCAATCAGGCATTTACCCTTTTCTGGGTCTCAGTTTTCTCATTGATACTAAAAAGATGTTTTTATTTATTTTATTTTTTTGTATTGTTTTGTTTTGTTTTTGCAGTTTTTGGCTGGGGCCGGGTTTCAACCCACCACCTCCAGTATATGGGGCCGGCATCCTACTCCTTTGAGCTACAGGTGCTGCCCTTTATTTTATTTATTTTTTTTGAGACATTGTTTCACTTTATCGCCCTTTGGTAGAGTGTCCTGGCCTCATAGCTCACAACAACCTCCAGCTCTTGGGCTTAAGCAATTTTCTTGCCTCAGCCTCCCAGGTAGCTCGGACTAAAGGAACTGGCCACAACACCCAGCTAATTTTAGATGAAGTCTCACTCTGGCTCAGTCTGGTCTCAAACCTGTGAGATCAGGCAGTCCACCTGCTTCTGCCTCCCGGAGTGCTAGGATTATAGGCATGAGCCACTGCGCCTGGCCCAAAAAGATGTTTTTAACAAATGTTTAGTGAAGGCTCTTCAGCCCTAAAGTTCTTAGCTTGAGAACCTGGTATAAGTGAACTGGTAAAAAGCTGTGTGTGGTGGCGCATACCTGTAATCCTAGCAGTCTGGGAACCCAAAGCAGGAGGATCCCTTGAGCTCAGGTGTTAGAGATTAGCCTGAGCAAGAATGAGACCTCATCTCTACTAAAAATAGAAAAATTAGCCAAGTGTGTGGCAGGCTCCTGTAGTCCCATGTACTTGGGAAGCTGAGACAGGGATCACTTGAATCCAGTAGTTCGAGGTAGCTGTGAGCAAGGCTAATGCCATAGCACTCTGGTCTGGGCAACAGAGTGAGACTTGGTCTTAAAAAAAAGCCAAAAACCTAAGTGGTACCGTGATAACAAGAAGCAAAAGTTCTGGTTCCCATCCCCAAAGAGCTCCTAATGTGAGAGGAGAGCTGAGACTATGCTGCTTTAGCAGAAATGCAGGCAGTGTGTAGGAAGAACTGTGGAATAATTCTAAGAGGCAAACACCCAGCTGCAGTAATAAGAGTCTCTGTAGACTGAATAGTGAGGTGAGATTTTTCCGAAGTTTTCATCGCTTGATATTCCCTGGAAAAGGAACCCTGCTCAGCACCTTTCTCAAGGTTCTGCAGGGAGCCCTCCTCTATATCAACATTCCTTACAAGTCCTAGAGAATGGATGCAGATCTAGCTGCTTCCTACCTTCTCCATTCTTTTGTCAAATATGCCTTTTCTTTCTAGCCACTGTCAGACCACACAGTGATGTTACCCACAAGCAGCTCTCAGCTTTTGGAGAATATGTAGCTGAAATCCTGCCCAAATATGTCCAGCAGGTTCAGGTAAAGTAAATTTCACTACTATTTGTTGTTTAGGTCTGGGGCAAGAAAGAACCATATGCTTGGGGCATATGGGAATGGGCAGCCTGGTGTCAAAGAAAACACAGACTCTTTTTTTTTTTTTTTTTTTTTGAGACAGAGCCTCAAGCTGTCCCCCTGAGTAGAGTGCTGTGGCATTACAGC